GCATCATGTTACGAAATACTGCACTGTTGTAAGACAAAAAGAATGTGTACTGTAGTTATTAAAGCATTGCCTGTAAACTAAGAAAGTGATGCCTGATTTATTTAAGCGTACAATGCTAAAAACTTGTTAAGGTTTAAAAAAAGTGACAAAAAAAAAAACTAGAAAATCCTGGGGGGTGGGGGGTCCACCACAGACCCTCTGGAATGGAAATTCCAGGGGGGTGGGGGGTTAAAACTGAACGACCATCTGTGGGGGATATGGATATTTTCTGGAAACACACATTGATCTTAGTAAGGTATCTGATTGCCTGGCACACCAACTGCTCCTGAAGCATGCTTTATGGCATGGATGACAAAGCAGTTGCTTTCTTGCATAGCTACCTATTGTCTAGGAATCAGCGAATTAAGTTGGTTGACACTTTTTCGGCCTGGACAGGTGTGGCAGTGGGGATCCCACAGGGGCCTATTCTTGGACTACTCTTAATTAACATTTTCATGAATGATCTTAATTTTCTATCGAGAGGTACGATTTTATGAATTACACAGATGACACAAAACTTCACACCTCAGATCCCAGTCCGGAAGTTGTCGAGAATGACATTAATATGGACTTAGCCAACACTCTACATTGGTTCCAGCAAAATGGGATGAAGGCAAATCCTGAGAAGTACCAGGCTCTTGTGCTGGGAAACACAAATCACCATATAAGCATCAAATGTACGTACAGACTGATTCCTATTTCTGACAATATCAAGTTATTAGGTGTTACAATAGATAACAGGCTCAAATTTGATGCCAACATTGCTGATATTTGTCCTAAAGAAGGAGGGCAAGTGAATGCCCTGAATAGGCTAAAAAATATTTTGCCATGCAAGACCAAACAAGAACTGTATCGTGCCTTTATTTGCCTTCTTCATTTTATTGCAGCCAAGTCTGGCACCACTGTGGGGCCAGAAACACTAGCAAACTGGAGAAAGAAAACAAGTGGCACTAAGATTTACTTACAAGGACAACTCTACATCCTATCATACTTTGTAAAAGTGGACAGGCTTACATGGTAACTTAGAAACCTGTAGGATCCAGGACATACGAGTTACTTTAAGCAGTTGTTTTCAGGGAAGAGCACCGACAAGCATTCATTGTCTCATTAACATCAGAACGAGTAATCACAACCTGCGAGGAACAAATGTTTTGTCCCTATCTAAGGCAAATAGCACCAAATATGGTGTAAAGTGTTTTAGTTATTATGGCGCAAAACACTAGAACACACTACCTGACAATATATGCATGTTAGCTGGAACTAAGTATTTTGTTAGCAAGGTTTAAAGTTTAACATTTGAAATATTTCCTTTACTGTATCATAGTCTATTGATGAAATTTTTTATTTTTACTGTACGAATATGCTAAAGCTTGAAATATCATCATTACTGTAGTTAGTTATGATAATTTTAGTACTGTGATATCTGTAAACTAGCTGTATGGCTAGGCATATTGCCACTTTAAATAAAGTATCCTATTGTATCCTGCCAAAATGGGAAAACAACAAAATTACTACCATGTATACAACACACTCTTCATACATTAAACAATGGGACGTTGATCAAAAGTGCAATATCATGTTGCTTTTTCTGAGTACTGCACAGAGAGTATTACAATCATTGAAAATGAAGATCTGTACCAAAAAAGTGACAATTTATCTCAATATCTTCATATCTTTACATGAATTGGAAAGAGCCATTTCTTGAATAGGCAAAGTTCAGAGAGCATAGGATGAGCAGCGAGAAAAGGTCAATAAACTCCTCATGGGTAAAAATGACAAAGATGTTGAGTCAGAGCAAGCTAACCCCAAGACAAACCCAACTGTCATGCAGGGCAGTTTGACAGTGATTTCCAATAATTATTTGGAAGTTCCTCATCAACAAATACATCTATCCAAGATATCAGAGAAACAAAAGGAGATGTCATCAAAAAGGCTGATTAAAGCACACCAATTTAGAGTAGAGGATGTCCTCGAAAAGGTCATGCAAGGAGGAAGAGAACCTGTTGTTAGGATTTGTTAAAAAATTATCTGACAATGTGAAAAAGTGTATTTATCAATTGCATGGTTACCAACAACAAAAAGCTGTTAAACAACTTCCTTAAAGATTAAATTGTTGGTAAACACATTGCTCTTGGAAAAACCATAGAAACCCATTTTCCTCTTCAGCTTCATAGAAAAATGTCCTCAGAGTGCCTCAATGAAGCAATACTTTCCCTGTATAACAGTCTCTCACTTGTACCAATGTTGCAGAATTTATGAAGAACTGGGAACTAGTTTATTTATGAAGAACTGGAAAAACTCACCCTAGAAGGAATGCATTTCCACCCTATTGTTTTGAAGTGGTGTCAAGCCTGCTAACAGATGTGGTAAGGGTGGTTCTGAATTGATACAAGATGTGGTAGCCATTCCTTGTATTTCAAGTGATAGGTCAAAAACAAGTGTGAGTTTTTCCTCAGGGGTTCCAAACACCGAGAAACGGATGAAAGCACGACGCCGAAGATGCAGTGCTTTTATTGTTTCAAGGTGTTTGGAACCTCTGAAGAAAAACAAAGCATGAGATTTTGAGCTGGCTTCTCAAACTAGTGTGAAAATTTAGTAGAATTATTTCATCAACTGATGGAGAAGAAATTACCCGCACTGATGAACGCGAAGTCAGACGAGAGAATCACCGCAAACTTAAACGCCATCAGCCCAATGAACTGGAACAGGAACTTGAACATTCCCAAGCAGCGCTAAAATCCCTGAAGAAACACCTGGATAGAAAGACTTGCCCAAAGTCGCTACAATACCGAGCCAGGGCCCGTATAAGAGCGGATGATGACTTCAGGAGAGACATTAAAAGCTGAGCAAGATTATGTACAAGCGGTGATAAGGTTTCACAATTGAAACATCGAAGGCCTCTGCACAGCCATAAGACAAGGAAAACAAGTTCAGGCCTACAAAAAAACAAAAGAACATTGTAACCAAAAAAACAGTTTTCATGTGCTTGGCGCCCAAAGAAACTGTAAACAAAAACAATGTATCGAAAAGAATCAACGAACTTAGAGCCAAAATTGTGTCATTGTCAACATTATTAGATGGCAACAATAAACAGAAGAGAGATTATACCTGTCTACTCTCTGACTCTCGCATTATAAACCAGGGACATGGGAAGAAAAAGCCATCCCAAATACGAAACAAAAAGCGAAAAGAACGCAGAAAAAAGGATCAAACCGCTCATTTACATGCACAAACAGGCAAACAAAAACAAAAAAACCTCTTGAACATAGACCTCACAAACGACCACACTAACTTTTTAGCTAAGGGTCTCAAAACAAAGCTACAGGTGTACATTGGAAGATCACAGCTAGGTTGCTGGAAAACCAAACTAATAGAATAATAAAAGCTGCAATCCTTTAGAGCTTACGTAAATTATCTGCAGGTTAGCGGAATACCAGTGTTAAGTCAAAAAATTATACAAGAAGAACGTACTGGTAGAAGTGAGCAGGAAGGCTCACAAACTTAACCTTGAGTTGTCGAGAGTGTGCGAGTTAGTTGATAAGTGAAACAAAACCAATTTAAGGAACTGTACAACAGATTTTAGCCAAATTTAGGTATTGAAAAATGCAACCACATTGGGTGAAATACGAAACAATAACCACTTAAAACAGTGAACAAACATTTCAACAACATAGTAAATACAAAACAAGGTACAGATGGACAAAAATAGGTCCGCAATGCGTACTGGGGTCTTATGCTTAGTTTTACTCCTTTTCGTTGGAATGCTGTCTTCAAATGTCAGTACCTGGGAGTTGAATTGCTACAAGTGAGATGGTAGACATAACAAGTAGTTACAATGTTTAAGTGGGAAATGTATGGCAGAATAATGTTTATTTACTTACTTTATCCTCTAACAATATTATCTATTTAGCTCTTAGTCCTAATGGGACATAACTCAACAATAATCTCTCAATTTAGCCCTATTTTGTGCAATGTCCCATGTGAGTGAGTGAACTCTGCACTGTTTACACATGTCAAGTGAACTTGTACATGTAGTGTCAAAAGGTTTTGCTGCTGTAATGACTAAGCCTGTTTAAATACATAACAACATCAACAACTGAGTACCACAGGGTTGTCAGTTGTTTTTGAGCAGGGGGCTCCATCAAAAATTTAGGTAGATAAGGTTTGCACGAAAAACATTTTTTTCTTGATACAATGTAAATTACACTTGCACC